CGCTTACAAAGTCAGCCAGTCCAACCACCACCAGACCAAGAATGGTGATTAGTATCCCAAACCACTGGCTAGGTTTCAGCCGGCGTCCTAAAAATGCTACAGATAGCAGTCCAGTGAAGATGATCACAGCTCCTCGCAACATCTGGAAACTGGAAGCGCTGGTCATGTTAAGTGCTAGAGACAGAAAAAAACAGGAATGAAATCTTTTAAAAAATACTAAGCACAGACCCAGCATAAAGTTCACATAAAAATGAAAACAATGTCATTATTTAATCATCCTCCTCTTGTTCCAAACTTTTGTTTCATTTGTCTGTAAAACACAAAAGAAGATAAAAAAATACTTGCAAAGTATTTTGGATGTCAATGTACACAGTTTTCCAACATTCTTCCAAATAATTACTTTTGTGTTTAACAGAATCCCTTTAGTGCAAGTATATGGAAATACAATTAAATTTTTTGTTGAACTAATTCTTTAACCCAATCTAAGAATAAGAATGGATGCTTTAGCTATTATAGAAGAAACCTGTAGCTTTAAAGTTGATCATTGCACCTCAGATTGACTGAAAACAACTGAAATGATCTTTCACAAAGTTTGACACTCACCAACATACATGATGGATGTTCCCAACATATCACAAAGAGCAGGAGGGAGGAAAACCAGTGGGTTAAAACTTTCGCCTGGATCCATAGTGGGCTCGGGTCGTCGCCGGTCATGACATAGGAGAATGTAAAACACCACGAGACAGGACAACTCTCCCAAAAACATGCCCACAGCCTGGAAGGGAAAGGAGTTGTTTACTGTTAGTGTGCATAAGTGAAAAAGGATATAGAATGAAAAAAGTGATACGAGGAGACAGAAACCCTCTCAAAAACAGTTCTCAGTTGACTAACACATAACACTTTCAGTTCTACATTTCCTCAGAACTAAGTTTGCAGAGAGGAAGCTTGATGTAAATGGTGTGCTGTATGCTGGTGGGATGACTTTCATTACCTGCACAAACGGGTGAGAGAAGTCATGATCTGGGCTGCCATGACAGCCAGGTGCAGAGAACATATCAGCCCATCTAGAAGATAAAAAGATACGCTGATGATCAAATTCATCTTAACATGACTTCATATGTAGTGACATGCTTTAACTATGAATAGTTGAAATAGCTGAGAACATTAAATCAACAATAGCTTAAAGAGATAGTTCACCCAAACATTTTAATTTACTCATCCTCAAGAGGTTTTTAAACCTTTTAAAGTATCTTTTATTGAACACAAAATATTATATTATAAAGAATGTTGGAAACTAGACGTCTATAAAGGGAAATGTAAAATTCTGTGGAAGCCAATGACCAGTTTTCAACATTCTACAAAATAAAACTCTAACAGGTTTGGGATAAGAGGAGGCTGAGGATGATGAGAATGAAATGTTTCATTCATAGGTAAACTTCCCAGTAAATTTGGAGCTGCACTATTAGTTTGTCCTAACAATGATGGATAAGAGTTGTGTATGAAAAACCTGTAACAATTATTACACAATAATAATGTTCAATTCAATTTTTTGTTATAATGAGCATTCACAAACTAAAACATTAAAGGGACTTCCATACAGGCTGAACTTTAAATATCTTACATTTTTTAATCTCGTCATCTTATTAAGCAGTCATGTGTCTTCAGATGACTTTGATTTAACAGCTCATGGATTTTTTATCTCTCTATGAAAGCCTCAGAGTTTTGAGTGAATACACTTTGAATACAGAGAGAGAATCTCTCAGAATTTATTAAAAATATCTCCATCTACAAACTTTATATGGGTTTTAAGTTATATTAAACATTTTTGCAGAATTTTTAAGTGAACTAAACCTTTAAAAATATAACTAGTCTTACATGGGTTAGTCACTGTAAGTTTAATAAGTAACAAAGTTGTGCTACTGTCATTTTTACAACCATGCATGACTGACATAAAGCCTGAAGATAAAAAGACCTTTTAGATGTAACAGTTTGTTTTAATTTATTTTACAATATACTTTTAGAAACATTCTGTTATAGCGAAAAGTTATTATGACATTGTAAAAATCAAGAGTGTACTTAAGAGTGAGATCACGGATACATCAACACCATCAGTGTCAGTTTTTCAGCAGATATATGGGATAACGTGTGGTATCCGGTATCTTCTGCCTAGAAACGTTAAGCTTCTGTTTTAGACACAAAGCTATATCAAGTTACAAGACGTTTGGCAGTATCTTCTTGACTCAGTGTACAACCCAATTCTACTTGTAAGACATATAATGCTGTGATGGCACTATTGACTAATAGTCACAAGTGATTTCAGACTGTCAAAATTGCTGATTTTGCAGTCTAAACATGTCACGACACGTCTGATCAACTGCACGTGAGTCTAATAATCTTTTCCTCAAATTTTAGTCATGTTGTTTAGGGACTAAAAGGTCAATGGGTGATATTTAATCTAGTTTGTGCTTAAGTAAAATTATGACAGGTTTTAAATGTACTCTTCCAGATGTTACAAAATATATGGTACAAAATATCACGTAATGGATACATAAAAATAATGACATAATGTGCGGCTTTATAAACAACGTAAAACATAATTGTTTCAGCTATTTGATTAAAGGTAAAAGTTTGGTTGATAAAAGCACAAAAAAACAAAAAAACAAAATATCATACGGTATGGAATCCTATGTAAACAAACAGCATCTGGCGCGTGCGCATTACTTACTTTGCGGAGAGTGTGTTTAGAGAGCCTGTCGTGAGCATCAGCCCGGCGAGAAAGAGCTGATATTTTGTCCACTTCATCGTAAGTGTGGGGCTGAGTGAGCGCGAGCATCAGACACTCAAGATATCTTGAGATGTGCCTTTCTTGCTGATGGCTACAGCAATCTAAACAGGTCGTTCCCCCTGTATCCAAATCACATGACGGTGATCATGTGACACACCAGCTGACGCCTCATTTCCGTAGAAGTATGAGAAGGCAAGCATTTGGTGAACAGCACAGATATTTATGAATAATGATGATGTGTTTGTTGCCTGAAATAAATAAATAAATAAATAAATAAATAAATAAATAAATAAATAAATAAATGTCAGTTTAGTTTACAGCAAAGCTGGAAAATAAACTAGAAAACATTATTTGATTCAGGAAACATTTTTTATTTGGTGCACTTCATTGCAGTGTCTAGTTTCCTTTGAACCTGTTGATCAAAACAAAAACATTCAGATTAATTTACTGATAATGCAACAACAAGTGTCTTCTTGTATTTGCATTGTATGAAAAAAAGATTAAAGGTATCATGAATTAAATAAATTTAAAAAAAGACTCTCCAAGATTTTCCTTAGTAGACCATTATAGCATTTTAGCTTAATGCTATAACCTATAATTTGAGAGCCACTGACCAGCATTTTATGAATCACGAAAGCCCACAGTTTCAATCTCTACAAGCTCTACTGAGGAAAATATTTATATATATATATATATTTGTGTATGGTCTAATGGGGAGCAAATTTACATTTTTGGATGACTTATCTATTTAATGAACACACCTTTTTTTACATTTACCAATAAAAAAAACTCATAAAAATGTATTCAGGTTTTTTGAACTAGTAGCTACTTATTTTTATGTTACTATTATTTGATAATAGTTCTTATTTATTAGTTAGTACTATTTAATCCAATAGTTACTAGACTTTAATTATCTTTGTTAAAAAATAAATATTTTTTTTTGATTGATAAATGTTTAATGGGTTGACATGAGTGTCAACCTCAACTTTCTTTCCACTTTCTTTCTTTTTTTTCTTTCTTTCTGTCCTTTTTTTTGGGGGGGGGGGTGTAGCACACATCAATGATCACTGTCAGCTTCTTCTCTGTCAAATGATGTCACTTTCGAGTCAGAGCAATATGCAAATGTGACAGGACTGACAGAAACATGGGGGCATTGTACATTTATTTGTATTATATATTTGTAGTACTTATTTCTTAGTTGTAATTTATAATTTCATGTTTTATCAGTTGATGTGAATGATAACAATTGAAATCAAATTAAATCACTTTTATTGTCACATCAGCTGCAGCACGTGTAGTATGAGGAGTGAAAAGCTTAGGTGCTTGCTTCAGACAGTGCAAAATACAACAACAGTGCAAAATAAAACAACATACTCCCAGAAAACAAAACAATATATAATTAGCTCTGTTGAGAGTAATCCGTAGAAGACAATAAATACGTGAAAGACAATACATGTGTTAAGAAATACACACACATGTAGGCACAGATAAACAAGTACACAGTCAAAAAAAATGTGCATACATAGTCTGATTGTTGGTGGAAAATTATTGTAGGCAATATTGTTTTAGGTAAGAATTGGTTGAAGTGTAGTGCATGTAGTGAGTGGATATTGCTGTTTCTGATTTTTTTTTTCTTCTGAAAAAACAGTTTATAGCATAACAAAACTATTAAAGCTGTTTACGTTAAATTGGACTGAGGACAATGACAGGGTTTGTACATTTGTAAAGTGCTTTTAGTAAAGAATCTGAGAACCAAACGAATGACATTTCTTTACAAAACAACACACAGAGCAAAATCCTTTCATTCATTTTTGGGGATGAAATTCTTCTTATTCACTGTATTTATGTTTTTATTTCAGGGACAGATAATGTACATTTCTTATAGAATGTCCATTACATTATTGTGGTAAGAGATGGACATCAATTTACAACCTTTACAGGGTTGTTCTTATTATAAAGCGCCATAAAAACATTATTCATTTTCTTATTAGCTTGCATTTATTCACATCCCACTATATACCACAAAGTGCTTAAAATAAAAGTGATACTGTCTGTAATAAAAAAGACCTTCTGTTTCTGTTGCTCTCCCAAACTCAACACTGTATATGACACATTCCATTCCAGCAGTGCGCGAGAAGTTCCTTCCGTCCAATCACAGTGTGCGCCTTCTGTCGCCTCGCCTTCAATCCGAAACTCTCTGATTGGCTGCGTCGGTGCGAACTGTTTTGTTGATAAATAACTTTGATAGATTGATTATTTTTCAAGAGGATCCTCGAACTCCACACATCCTGCAAACAATATCGGTAACGTAACGCTGAAGCGACAGAATGTAAACAGGAAAACTGGTTTGGTGACTACAGCTGAGGAGTTACTCGGATACAAAAAGTTGTAACATTTGTCAGCCTGCATGTAAAACAGGCCTCTCGGTGCATTATAATGACACGTTATTCTGGCGTGTTAAATGTGCGTAACGTTTCTTCGGTCTAGGCGTTTACGACGGACTGCATTGTGCGTAGTTTGTATATGGTCATGCACGCTGCTGTTGACTTTGCCCAGGGCTGGAGCTGTTTTGTAAGGTGCTGTCAGCCGAACTTGAAAAGTAAGGAAGAGGACGTCAATAACACATTGCAACAGTGTAAGTACGATACAGTCGTCTGTGTTCATGCGCGACAGATTTCGTTCAGTAAGCTAAGGGCGCAGAGTGCACAGAGAATAAAAAGTGCACGAACACTTTGTCGTTTTATAGGAAACATAATAGGGTGGTTTGGTTTGCTGTACAGCATTGCTTTTATGTTTATTTTGTTAGAAATGGTTTCATCGTATTTTCTGTATTGGGAGGGGTCATAAGTGGGTTGAAAAGTAGTTCTGCTTGTTCTCTCTCTCTCTTGTATTCTCTCTCCATCTCTCTCTCCCTTTCCCTCTTCACTTCCTGTAATTCTTGTTGTCTTGCAATGCACTTTTCATGCCCCTCCCGTGCTGTGCAATTGTGTTTGTCAGGTTTCCTGGTTTCAGACCACTGTGTTCCCTTCCACTTCTTAGTAGTCTTTGCTGAATATTCATTCATTGATGGAAAGCACAAAGAAACAATCTGTCAGTTTTGACAGGTTATGGCCTGTTTTGTAATGTGTGATTTGAAGTGTACTTGATAACTCACTCTATTTGTGTTTGATTAATTGTTAATTTGGGATCCATCACTGACCTGTGTGAAAAATAAGAATGTTCAATATAATGCTATATTCAAAGTATTTATTTTTGTATTTCGAGTAAAATTGGTAAGACATTTTAATTGGACTCCAAAATAACAATGCGTTGCAAAAAAATACAATTTCTCTTACATACTGAATATATGTGTGTCAATCCTTAACGGAGACTTTGATTTGGCAGACTGTTTTAAGAATAATAAAAAAAAAATTATGGCAAATTATTTTTATATAAGAAATTTAATTTGAATTATTTTGTGCCTTTGATGTTAGTCTATATGATACTTAAGAAATGCGCTCAATAGCAGTGATATAGATAAAATACCTGCGATAGAATTCTTTCTCACAGTTGAAAATATATGAAAGAAGCAAGAGGTAAATTTATACAGTATAAAATACTTCATAGGTATTATTACACTTCAGTGCGACTTCTTAGAATGGGATGCTTAGATGATAATAAATACTCGAAATGTAAACAGGAGATTGATACATACTTTCATGCATTATGACAATGTATAAAGGTTCAGCCCTTTTGGGAATCTGTGTTAAGACAATTAGGTAGATGTTTGGTATTTAATATCCCTCTCTCATTCAGGATATGCCTTTTAGGTGACAACTGATGTTCCACAAATTACAAATGATGAGTTCACCCTTGTAATTTTGGGCATTACTACAGCAGCACATATAATACTGAGGTTTTGGAAAGATATTAAATGCCTTACACTTAAATTATGAATGGAATCCATGATTGAGAATGTGTAATATGGGAAAATGTTGGCCAAAATGAATGATGATTACAAGGAAATAGATATGTTTGACATTTTCATTTCCTCACTTAAAATGTGAATGTATTTATCCTGTTATGCTCTGTACTATTATTTTCATTATTTCTGTACTCTTGTTACTGGTTGTTGAATTGTTTATTTATTTTCTAAATTGATGAATACATTTATAAATTGTGAAGAAATTGTATAAATTATACATTTGTATGGTTTTGTATTTTATATCAAGAAAAAACTAATAAAAATCTCATTAAAAAAAGAGAAATACTCTCAATAATGATCTCAATTACTTTGAATTAAAATCAGTATGCATCAGTATAGAAACATGTAGATGAAAAGAATATAAGACAAGAGGACAATACATAGTCATAGCTATGCTAAATCTTTTTACAAATTGCTGGCATATAATTGGCTCATTAGTTTGCGTTCATATTTTCTGTTTTGCATTCTTTTGGTTTTCTTTTTAAGTTTTGTCTTCTCATGAGAAGTCTTTAATTTGCTTGTGAGGAATTTTTATCAAAAAAAAAATTCAGTTTCTTGAGGAGAAGCAAGCAAATATATTGCATGTAAGTGCAAAAACGTTAAAATATATTTTGACTATCACCTTGTCTCTTTATACAATTATAATTACTTGCATGCTTCATGAAAGTTACGTGTGCAAATTTTTGCTTATATGAATATTTAATGTATTTTAAAATAAACATATTTAGACAAGAAAAAAAAACATGCTATGAGCTACTTGCATTTTTTTTTTGTTGGTTTAATTATTTTGTTTATGTTGCAGACAAAATTTGACTCATATTGTTACTGTTTTCAAAGTGTAACTTTTTGTGTTTCTCCATTTTTTTAGATCATTTCCCATGACTGAGGAACGACTGAGGTTTCAAATATTTACTCCACCTTTAAAGTGCAGTTTAGAAGCAAGTGAGGAGGTGGGGCTCCTGTACCCTATTTAAACCTGCATGTGTAAAACATTATCAGCAACCTTGTTCAAACCAGGCTTACTGAATGCCTCAGGATTTTGCTCATCTCGTAGTTTCACACAATTGCCATGAGTCTTTCTCCACACCAGAGAGGAACCATAAACAGTATTAGCAAACAAAATGTTGAAGCCATTAGTGAAACAATGCAGCATTCAGGGGATCTCTTCTACAACGTGGGAGCTCCATCTCTGGAGCAAACTCATAGCAGTCCAGAGGGTCTGGTGGATTCTAGCCCTGAAGTCCAGGGCACTTTCAAAACTGATAAAGGATATCAGGTCCGGGGGCATTTTCAGCAGTCAGGACCGGTAAAGTGGGTGCATCAGGACCCAGTGCAGACGTCAAGTTGGTTTCAAGGTCTCCCAAACATGAATAAGTGGTCACAGAACTTTGGGCCTTCTCTTGGTGTTATGGATGACCCAAGGGCCTTTAATAAAAGTCACGAGATGGAAGCTATGAAAGAGAAGCTTTCATCAAGTTCCTCACAGTCCTACACAGAGACCTCCCAAGTTCCTGGTGCAGACTGGGACCATCACAGCATGGCAGCCATGCATCATGCTCAGTTCCAGGCTCTTCAGCAAGGCCACCGACCTGTAGATATTCAATATCAGCCACAAGTCATGCATCACGAGATGCCTGATTCTACTTTGCAACCCTTCCAGTTGGCATTTGGACCTACCAAGCAACCACAAGCACCTGGTTTCCAACAGGTTTTTCATGACAACAATGCACCTTTAAACATGAATTACAATGAGAAGCCAAAATCACAACAGCAGCAACTATTGCAGATGCAGCAGCAGCAGTTACAGCGCCAGCGCCAGATGCAGCAGATGCAGCAAATGCGTCAGTTGCAGCAGCAGCAGCAGCAGCAGCACCAACAGCATCAAATAAGGCAGCAGCAACGGCTGCATCAACTGCAACAGCAATACCATCAGCAGCAGAAAATGCAGCAACAGATACACCAGCAACTACAGCAACAGACACAAGGGTTTCAACACCTAGAGTCTGTAGAAAAGCAGAGAGTTAAACCAGAGATCGAGTCACAGGATCCTGTCAACGCTCAGGGGAAGACAGACTCGAGCCAGACTCAGCACACTGTACCTCAGTCACAACACCCTGTTTCTCAAGGGTCAAATTTCCAGGAATCTGGCAATCCTGCAGAAGCCAGTCCCGAAATCCAGGAGGACCAAGGAAAACGTCAGGTCTTTCCTCGCCGCTCTCGCAGACTCTCCAGAGATGGAGTCTCCCCTCAAAGCAGCCAGACCCCCAAAGACAAGGTTTCTGCCCAGAATGGAGGAGATGATGGAGTCCAAGCACCCACAGTGGGGGTCATCCAGAGCACTCAGAGAAGACGAAGAGCCTCAAAAGAGATCAACCTTGAGACTCTTGCTCAGCAGGCTTCAGAAATGGAATTTTTGCCAGCAAAGGTGAGCCCATTTCATTTTGAAATCCATTTTGAAGCCTCTTTATTAAAAGAGACATAATGTCTTTATTTAACCAATTTGTTTACACGAACAAACTGCAACAGCAAAATTTATTATTTTCAGAAAGTTTTTTTTTCTTTTGAGTACAGTCCATTTCTCCCATTGGTTGGTAAGATATTTAGGATGTTTTCTGTGCTCAGCAAGGCAGCATTTTGGAAAAAAATTTGGTGTATTTTTTATTGTTTTGCTCTGCAATGTGTTAATCTATTTTGAATAACAATAAAGACTGACAAAGATAGAAAATTCTCATGATCATTCAGAAATTATGAAGAAACAAGATCAAGAAACATTCATTTTCTTTTCGGCTTAGTCCCTTTATTAATCTGGTGTCGCCATAGTGGAATGAACCGCCATGCAACTGATGCCCTTTCAGCTGCAAATCATCACTGGGAAACACCCATACATTCTCATTCACACACATACACTTTGGACAATTTAGCTTACCCAAATCACGTATAGTGCATGTCTTTGGACTTGGGAACACGGGGAGAACATACAAACCCAGCCAAATAACAAACTGACCCAGCTGAGGCTCAAATCAGCAACCTTTTTGCTGTGAGGCGACATCGCTACACACTGCGCCAAGATCAAGAAACATTTCTTATCATTGTGATCAATATTCAAAACAGTCGTGCTGCTTGGTGGAACCATGGTATATGTTTTAGGATTCTGTGATGAAAAGGAAGTTCAAAAGGACAATGTTTATTTAAAAAGCATTTTATAACATTTTAAAAAGCCTTTGTGACACCTACCTTTATAAAATAAATATCTGTCAACGTACATTAGAACAGTATTGTATTTTTAAACGTGTAATGTCAATGGGTTTTTTTTTTTGCCGCTCATACGGTCTCTTAGAACAGTTTTGCTGTTTTAAACCAGCTAATGAACTGGCTCTTTCAAAACCTAAACATTTCCACTGCTGCCTCTAGCAAGAAGCTGAAGCTGGGTGAATCATCATGTCACTTTATAGCTAATCAAACTATAAACATTACAATGCAAACTCAGCTCACGATAGTGTTTGCCAATAGCTTTCCTTTGTAACATATACTGTAGTGTTCTGTGCAGAGTTTATAAGATATTGTAAATTGTAAAGCAGTGTAGTGAGCGGCTGCATGTCTGCACACCTTCACATTCCACAGTTTCTGAAAACCCATTCAGCAGAATTTGGGAGGGGCTGATTCACCAAGCCCTGTTTGCTGATCCAAGCTCATGGTATGAATGAATACTTTAGAATATTTATTTTAGATTTTACATATTTCATATAACAGTGCAGAGGCAGATCTTTTTATTTAAGATTGCTGTTTTAAGAAAATACATTTAAAATTTGTCTGTAATATATTTGCAGGCAGATTAAACTATCCCCATGACTCACCTAAATGCTGCAGATTGCTTCTCAGGCTATTGTTTGTTTCTTTTATCCATTTATATATTAATCTGTATTTTATTTCCTTATTTCCTCTTAATAGCGAGAGGACGTTAACCCTGGTAGACCAGCTGGTATGGTGCCTTTAGTCATCCCAGTCTCTGTTCCAGTTCGGAAAGGTCAAACCCAAATGGAAGTGCCAGGCAACTGGCCACAGCTGGATAATGTTCGGCATACCTCAGGAAGTTCCCAGCCTGATCGCAAACCCTCGGTTATTGTTGCACGCCGGCAGTCATTGAAGAACTCAGCATCTGAGAATTTCATCCAGGTACAGGGTAATAGCATTGTTTCGAAGTGTGCTTATAAAAACCATCTTGTGTTTTCAGTAAGTTGCTTGTAGATTTGGGCAATTGCATGTTATGTTTATTTAGGCTTTTTTCCAGAAAACAGTTGCCTATTTGAGCTTGTTAGTGGTTGGCATCCACACGACTAATGTTTGGCAGCTCACTGAACTTATGCTGCTATTCATGCCAAAGTTTCATGTGTTGATGTAATACTGAACCCACAAACTCACAGTTGATTTTTGAAGCAATTTAATTTAGCATCTTTGTGTAGGCTCCGATGAAATTTGTCCCTGTATTAATTTCCATCCTCTAAATTCAGTTTGACTTTTTCAAATTCGGCTTTTTTCTTTTTGATTTATTGTTGCATTTAGTAATAAAAACCCTGTTTAAATAATTAAAATCATAAAAGGTGAATATTGTAACAATTATACAATGTTCCAGCTTATATAAATACGTTTTCTTCTTCAAATTCTGCTGTTTTATTTATTTAGAGTAAAATTAAAAAACTTGAAAATGTATGTCATTTTTCCTTATGAATTTTTTTATTATATAATGACATGCTCTTTTTGTTGTTAAATGGTGCAAATATCAGTACATTAGCTATGTTTCCATCCAAAGATGTGAATAAAATTTATGCGCAAAACTGCAATATCACATATAAGACGGGTGAATAAAGCAGCATTTCCATCCAAGTAATAAAAGAGAATAAAATCGTCACTTCCTGATGAACTGGCACCAAATATCAAAAGTAAAAATGTAAATTGCTGCGGTAGGAGAAGCTGAGTGAATCTTTTCTTTATTTAATAAATTACATGCGCCTCAGAAGACAAATGCCGACGCGCAATGAACGCATGGTGGTGTTTGAAGGCGTGAGACGCAGAGAACAGATTCTCTTGACAGTTCTAGAGGTAATTAATAATATAATAACACTAGTACTGAAATAGTTAAGGTTTGTTATTTGTATTTGATAGGGTTTATGAAAAAAGGTAAATATTTTGTATTAAAATATTTTAGTGTCTTGTATTTTTGTATTTTAAATACTGTCAGATACTTTTTTACAAGTCTACATGATGACATCATAAAAATGCAGCCTCAGATAGATGCTTTCTCAGTTATTTGCCAAGGCTTGAGATCAGAACAGAAAATTAATTAATAAGAAGAAGTTGATCAATAATTGACATTGTTACAATTGCAAAAAATACATGATTTATGAAAATGACTAAAACTGGAGATTTTGGTAGTTTTCAGAAATCATGATTTTACATTGAGTATTTATGATTTTAATTGTAAAAATGTTAAATAGAAGACTTTTAAAAGATATAGTACTATATTCCAAATTATTGTCTGCATTAAATTGTTTTTACCGTGATTAAAGAGATAATCTTTGACAGTACTTTCTGAGTGAAATTTGTTCAAAATCTATACTAAAATCAAAGAGAAACACAAGTTACATTTTTATGAATACCTCCTCATGTACAGTAGAGGTGAATGAGGTGCCGAGAAGCTGACTTAAACTTGCTCTGAAAAATGCTGTAGCTGTCAAACATTGTTTACTTCACAGTTTAAGTCAGTTTAAGGGTGAAGGGATTGATCCAGTTAGCCTGTTGATAAATAGGTTTGTGAAAAAAAAATGTAAAAGTATTTTGCAGTATTTTATTTTTACATTTGTGGCTGCTGTATTATGTAGTTTATTTTGAACCACTTAAAACTGAGGTATTATGTATTTTATTTTACAATACATTTTTCATGTATATTTGTCCAACCCTGCACATGATCTCTTACAACAATATAACATGTTCTTTTTTGCACATATACTGGAATTTGTTCAGTAAAAGTGTTTCTATTGTTAATTATGCACATCTTTTCTTATCGAATAAAATGTTTATCCTACTCGGTTATGCGCATCTTGGTGTTTTCATAGACCATTTATTATGCACATATCCAAAATGTGCATAAAAATAGGTGCAAACATAGCTATTGACTATCAGAAAATGAAGTAAATAATGTTAGATGATTCTTTTAAATTCCCTCCTCCTAAAAACTTTTTATCTGAAAGGAAACTTCTTCAAATGCATATGCCTTTTCATGGCTTAAATTGTACTGCATTTCAGCATTTGTATTTTCAAAATAGATTTTTATATATTTATTTTTTTCCTTTTTCCATTTGATTCAGGGTAAAGGGCAAGATGACAAATCAAAGCGTCGTCCGCGACCTGAGCCCCTGGTCATTCCTCAACCGTGCACTTTCATCGCCCCTTCCATCTATTCCAGCATCAGTGCCTACCAGAGTAACCTGCGTTCTCCATTGCGTCTGCCGGACCATGCCATCATGATCCCGCCATACACTCCTCCGCCCATTCTGTCACCTGTGCGGGAAGGATCGGGCCTGTACTTCTCTACTGTCCTCTCTTCTATGGCAGCAGGCAGTCAAGTTTTGCCACCACCACCCACACCCCGCAGCGCCTCGCGAAGCCTACTGCGCTCAAGTGTGTTCCTCTTTTTTTATAATTAGTAATAATTCACAGTAAGCGTCAAACATAAAAATGTACTAATGCAACAGTGTGCAGAAATGCACCGTTCATTTTAGCAGCTAATATTAAACTATTTTTAATGATAAAAACATATTTACAAATAAAAACAATATATATAAATAAAAATTATGATTCATTATTAGTTGATATCACCTAAACAATATTATTGTAAACTGTGGGATTTTTATCTTGACTCTTTATTTGTGTTTATTAATACTTATTAATAGGTCACTTAGTATTTAGTATTAATTGGGTATTTACGATCTATCAATTAATTATATTTTTACAGCATTTATTAGTCAATTAACAATTTAAATAAACTTCATGTTAGAACTTTTGGTACCACTTTAATTGTCCATTTAGTTAATGTTAATTAATATATTTACTGACATGAACAAACAATTAGTTATACATTTATTATAGTATTTATTCATCTTTGTTCAGTTAATGTTATTCAAGTTAAACAAAAATTCATGTTAATTCACAGTGCAATAACTAACGTTACCAAACACAATATTGGATTTTAATCATGCATTAGTTGATGTTAAACTCCATTCATTCATTCATTTTCATTCATTCTTTTGGCCTAGTCCTTTTAATGTTACACTATGATTATTTAATGCTTTAGAGATTATTTATGCTTAGTTGAAGAAAGTAAATACATTAACTAACGGACCATTATTCTAAAGTGCTTCTGTACTTTTTTTTTTACTTCTTTGCTATGGTAAAAGCAGTGGTAAAAACTATTACTCATCATTAAGTAATGTTGAATGTAACATGTTGTACCATACTTATTTATAGATGGCTCGGAAAAATAAGAACATTACTCACTTATACTATCTTAAACAGTCACAATTTTAGTTTACATTATAAACACATTGTCAACCTTACCCAGATAAATAAACTTTGCATTGTTCAATAGTTTAAGGTGCATTAAACTCTTAGGGCCCTATCATACACCAGGTGCAATGTTGTGCGAGGCATGACGCAATTGTTGTTTGCTAGTTTCAGCTTGGAGCACGAGTCATTTTGACGTTTTACGCCACGCTGTTTAAATAGCAAATGCATTTGCGTTCATATGTGCACCCATAGGCGTTCTGGTCTAAAAAGGGAGGCGTGTTGAGGTGTATTGCTGGCATGTTGCTATTTTGAGAAATTATAACAGATTTTTCAATAGACCAGAACAAAGTCGGTCTATTGTCCAGCGCAAAGCGCGTTAAAACCAAGCCTAAAACACACAAGCAGCCAATCAGCAGTAAGGGGTGTGTCTATTAATCAAAATGGGAATATCAAAAAGGGCATGTGGGATATGGGCGTCTTTGTTTTGGCATTGTTTAGTTGTCATTATATAATGTTAATGAACTAACAACATTTACCCTTATTGTCAAGTATTTATTATCATTATTAGCTGTTAGTTTAAGTATTGTGCAAACTAATGTAAACTTATAACTTTCACTATTTATGCTTATTCTTGATCTCTCTCCTTCTCTTTATTTCCTATTTTTCAGGCAGTTCTGACATCACTCCTCCTGCTCCTCCACTGATTGGAGAAGCAACTCCTGTCAGCCTTGAACCGTGAGCATTTAATAAATTTCAAATAAGGTATTCACTCCAATCACTAACCACTTTTCTAATAGATTCACCCTCTTTTGCACATTTCAGGCACATAAACATCGGCTCAAAGTACCAAGCAGAGATTCCTGAACTCTTGGATCGTTCATCAGCCTTAAAGGACCAGCATAAAGCCACTTTAGTTTGGCAGCCTGAGTCCTCTGCCTCCCAAGAAACAAGAGGTAACTTGACTTTAGACTGCATTGACTACATCTGAAATATCACATATACCATTTATATATTCACATTCTTCAATTACAATGTTTTGTTTTTTTGTTTTTGCAGTTGATAATCTGATGAACCTGGTCTGTTCCAGTGTAATGTATGGGGGAGGGACAAACACAGAGCTCGCAATGCACTGCCTGCATGAGTGCAAAGGTGATGTCATGGTGAGCTCAGAATAATGTTCAACAACATCTTTCAAGACAAATGTATTTGTGAATTATTCTGCTTTGTGTCTAATGCAATAGATTTTGTTGAATTTAAAGGACTGTCACTGCTGTTTAAAAGTTTTGGGTCTGTAAATATTTTGAAATGCTGTTGAAAGATTTATTTTATGCTTAATACGGCTACATTTATCTATTAAAATACTAATTCAGCAAAGCAGTTAAATTGAAATGTTATTACAACTTATAATTCTGTTATTCTTTTATAGTACAATTTTTTCCTTGAAAAACACTCTTCAATGTCACATGATATTTCAGAAATGATTCTAATATGATGATTTGTAGCTCTTTTACACTTTATGAAACATTTATTTAATTGCTATTTTAATTTTCCATTTCCCCAATTTCAGCAGTGTATCTATCTATCTATCTATCTATCTATCTATCTATCTATCTATCTATCCATCTATCCATCTATCCATCTATCCATCCATCCATCCATCCATCCATATATATATATATATATATATATATATATATATATATATATATATATATATATATATATATATATATATATATATATATGTATGTATGTATGTATGTATGTATATGATTTCTGGAGAAACAATTATTTTTTAATTCTGTAGGAAGCTTTGGAAATGATGATGCTGAAAAATCCCATCTTCTCCTGGAACCACCAACTAGCCAATTACCATTATGCAGGTAGAAAATTACAAAAACAAACTATATAGCAATGGGCCAGTGGCAGTGTTCACATCAGAAACGTTCACCCAGAAATGAACATGTAATCACCATGTACTCAACCTCAAAACTTTATGAGTTTCTTTTTTTCGTTAAACACAAAATAAGTTATTTTGAAGACTGTTAGAAACCTGTAACCATTGATATCCATATTTGAGAAAACATATGGTATGGAAGTCAGTGGTTACAGGTTTTCAGCGTTTTTCCAAATACTTCTTTTGTGTTCAACAGGAGAAAGAAACTCAAACAGGTTTGTAGGAAGTGAAGGGTGAGTAAGTGATGACAGAATTTGGAGATTTGGGAGAACTATCCCTTCAAGCTTGAATAAATGTCATTGCTGTGGCAGTAGGGTATGCCAGATATTGTTGTCTGTCATTGAATCAGCCATTCAAGAGATTTGATCGTAAATGCTGAAATGCTGATTCCTCCTTTGATTAAACCTGTGGTTTTAATATTCATATTATTTATGTTATTTTGGTTTTGTTTGGAATCGTGATCTTGTGAAAAAATGATTCTTTTTATAGTCTATAATGAGTTTATTTGTAATGCTTTATGGTAATGATTGATGTTCTTTAAATATTGACAGGATCAGACTATTGGAGTGCAGATGAAAAACGATACTTCAACAAGGGAATTTCTGCTTATACAAAAGATTTCTTCATGGTGCAAAAACTGGTATACAGCTTTTATATCTTTGGTCTAATGTTGTTCATACTGTACATGACTCGCCTAAATCATGTTTTCCATTTTTAAAGATTGTGTGTTTCTCTTTGTGTGTCTGTTTTTGCCAGGTGAGGACTAAAACTGTGGCACAGTGTGTGGAGTTCTACTACACCTATAAGAAACAAGCGAGGGTTACTCGTAATGGGACATGTACATATGGACCTTCAGATCCAGAAGAAAGCATCCCTGTGGTAAAAGCTATTACTTGTTACTCTTTATAGTTTTATAAAATGTGTTTGTCAGTTCATCTTTAAGGCCAGTTTACATAGACAGACACCTTTTTAAATCCTGTTCTACACACAAACAAAATAACTGTACACAGACATTTGGAACAAAACTAAAGTGAACAGCTAGCATTTCTATGTTTTATAGTATAATACACTATTCCTGAGTCATTCTGTTTCCACATCTTACTAGAAAAATACAGCATGTAAGAACAAGCCAGTATTAAACCTGTTTAATTACAAACCGTTTTTTAAAATTGAGAATAAGTATAATTATGTAACTAAAATACATATTTATTTAATATAATGCGTATTTGTGATATTGTGATGTGGTGTATTTCCTTGATAAAGTTACTTTTATAAGTTTAAGTTGTTGTTTTTTTTACGGTTGGCTTGTTCTTATTTGCTTAATTTTCTAGCAATATTTGACAACCCTAATGAATCAAGACATACCAGATATACTGTTTTCTTGCACCTTTTATACAATAGAGAGATTCACCATTATAAACATTAAACAACTAGGTGTTTGGTTTAAGTTGATAAACTAGTAATTTTAATGGAAATAAAGAGAATAAATGTGACCTACAGGTGATAACTGTACAGGGCTTTTACATGTCATGGAATTTCTGGAGTATCTTTAAATTTTTAAGGGTCTATTTCAGATATACTTTTTTATTTTCTTTGTTAATCATGAAATATCAGGGATTTTTGTTTGTGTACATTTATCAAAATGTAATTGTCTATACCGTATTTTTATATCATGCCGTTTCATGCCTTAAGTAAATGTTATCAAATATGGGAGACGGAGCACTTGACAGCCATGCAACCAGTATATACATATGCTAAAATAGCAGGTCAAACATACTAATACAATAAAACCCAACAACAATGGAATAGCATAAGGTGAAAGGACTGAACTATTGAAATGTATTTAATACAAAAGGCTTTTTAGGGTAATGACAAATTCAAGACGCCTCGTATAAAGAATGGAGTCCCATGCATTGCTCAGGTGTAAGCTTATTGGATTAAGGTCAGGTGATTGGCTGGGCCATTCTAGCAACTTCATTTTCTTTTCTGAAGCCAGTTTTGAATTACATTGGATGTGTTAGGGATCATTGTCTTGCTGAAATGTCTATCCTGGTTTCATCTTCATCATTTGGAAATGTAGCTGTTGGACTGAAGCAGCTAAAATTTGTTTACACTGATGAGGGGTAGGGTTAATTTTCTAACTACTGAGATATTTCAGCTACAGCTCCCTTTTTTCATGTGTTCAATACTTTATGGCCATTTCATTTTATTGCAAGTTTTTTTAAACTAATTAGTTTTGTTTTCTTGGTATGTGTGGATTACTTGGGTTGTTATCAACATCTGGCAAGAATTCCGAGGCAAGAGCCCTTTCAGAAATCTGGTTTCTGAGAAAAATTGTGACATGCTCAGTACTTTTTTCTATTCGCTGTATATATGTACAATATAGGTCATGGAAATTTAGCTTTTTAGTAAGTGAAAAGACATACAAATAAATAATAAATAATTGATACAAATAAATAATGGATATCAAACGTGCAAGATGCCAGAGTGTTGGTATGGCTACCACAGGGTGTACTTTCATTTTTGACAGTATTTGCTCCCATATTTAAATCTGTTTGTTCACAGTGTGCATGTGGTCGTTGTCTTTGACTCATCATGACTAAAAGGCTGTAAGATGTATAGTAGAATACAAAAGTGAGACAATACTTAAAATTGAGTGCTGGTCATACTTGCCTTTCATTATATATTTCATAAAATATCATCAGCCTTTTCTTTTATTTGCGATACAGATGAACGCAAGACAAGCAGATAAAGAAAATGACTGTAAACAACAGGAGGAAATGGAAGACAGTGTGGATGAAAGGCTACAAGATGTGACCAAGACACTTCAGCAAAGTGACAATGTGAGTATTTTACCTAAAATTGCACTCCTTTTTGCATGTCAATTCAGCTTGAGAGACACCAGTATGTGTGTCTTGGTTGAACCTGAAATAATAAACAGCTGATTTAAAATCCAAGGGAATAGCTCAGTCTCGTCCTTACTATTTTGTCCAGGAGAGGGCAGACATGGCTCAGGAGGACCAGAAGAAAAGCTCTGTGGCAGCAGAAGAGTCTTCTGGTCTGATGGTAGTGGTTCAACCCACCTTTAAAACCCCTTCACCAGCACCTCCAAAGCCCCGCTCTTACAACATCGGCAGGAAAACCAAGCCCTCAACCGTCAGCAAACCTCAGGGAGAGCCAGAGGGGATTTTTCCTTGCAAGAAGTGTAGCAGGTCAGTCAGTTTGTGGATACTAGTAAATTGTCTAAAAATATCTGCTAATTAAAATCAAAGGAGATAAGCTTGTTAATTACAACTACCTCAAACGACCAGTAAAATTTGTTTGTTTCTAATCTGTTTGTATTGCATTGATTTTACTGCATTTATCTTACTCTCTTATCCCAGTGTGAATTCCGCTGACTTTACTATTTATCTGTGATAAATAGTGGTTTCTTTGTGGATTTTAATTATGAATATTGAAAATTACGTTCAGTTTTTCTGTATTAATATCATAGTGAATGTATTACAATATTGCAACATTTTGGATTCAATTTAATGATAATTTCACTATATTTGACAAATTATTTCCCAAAGATTGAATATATGATAAGTTTTAAGTATAAGATTTTAATTTAATATTTATATTAGTAAATTTGATTTTACAATATGTTTATAGTGTATTATTTAAATTAATGTTAATATCATGGTCAATACTCATCGTAGCACACGTGCTGCTGATTATGTGCCAATAAAAGTGATTTGATTTGATAGCATATTGATATTATTATGTCAAAAGCCACATATAAAATATTCTTTTACTGAAATGTAAATTAATTTCTAGCATTGAATTTTATTTTGCATCTATTTTGCAATTTATATATAGGGTGTTCTATAAAGTGAAGAGCCGCAGTGCCCACATGAAGAGTCACGCAGAGCAGGAGAAGAAAGCAGCAGCTCAGCGCCAAAGAGAGGAAGAGGAGCAGGCAGCTAAAGCCAGACACGAAATGATACTAGTGGCGAGGAGGAAAGAAGCACAAGGCAGAGGTCAAGAGGAGAGCAGTGAAGCTGAGGAGAGCTCAGCAGAGCCGGACGACGATCGGGATGTAGACTGGCAATGAGGAACAGGTGACTCCTTTAGTCTTCTTTTGTACCAGTTGGTACCAAAAAATTGTGACTTGTGCATCTCAATTGAGGGCAGTTGACATGTTTGAAACAATCTAAAATACCTTAGCCTTCTCATTTTTACCAAAATTTTATAAGAACTTGGTATATCCTTTGGTATATATATATTTTAAAAGTGCAAATATTATGACAATTTAGCATCATTCATGATGAATGACGTTGAAACATGAAACGTTCAGCTTATTGTTGAGCTATTCAACACGTGTACAGTCTTTTTGGTTTGATTTTGATCAAAGTACCTGAACAATTTTTGTAATCTTTTTGTTTTTATGTTTTTTTTTACATGTGTCAATGTAATATACATAATATGCAATCAAAAGCAAATTAAAATTCACTCCCAAACTACCTATGGATAATTTTCTGTGCATAAAATGTGTATATAATGCATACAAATATAAATGTTGACTTCTACGTTATATATTGATCCAATTATGTATGTTTTTTTTTTCTGTGCTCTAAACTTAAAGGAATGTATATTTATGTTTTGAATGCACTTAAAGAGGATTGGAATATTAGGATTAAGGGATTTTTAAAAAATAAAAACTCACATGTAAATAAAATATTATGTTTAGCAAATCACAACAAACATATCCAACATATTGATCACATTTTTTCCACACATTGTTGACTTGTGATGATGCTTAATGTTTGCCATTTTTGTGTGCACAATTAAAAAAACTTCTAGTTCAAACTATTATTTGTATTATTTGACTTTATATAATAAATATAAAAGGAAAAAGTTCATTTATCAACATCACATTCAGTAAATGTTTTTGATAAGCTTAAATGCATTCAGTGTTTACAAAGAACAGTAGTATTGGGGAATTTCTTTAAATTAAGGTTAAAATAACTGTAGATACTACAAGAAGGGTAAAAGACACCTGGATTCTTCCACTGCTTCCACCTGAAAGTAAGAATACAATCAATTGGTTAATACATTTTCTTAAAATCCACACAGGTAGAAAAAATAAAATGTTGAAAATAATTTTTTAGATTGGTACTGAATGATCACGCTCAATTCTCACCAGCATCAAAGTTATCCACTAGCATGCCTTTGGTGTCGCTGAGACTTCCATTGTTTGCTTCAGGAACGACACCCAACAGCTTACACATCAGTGGATAGATGCTGACGCTGTCAAACGGCTCTGCCAAGAAGTTTGGGCTGAAGTCTGGCCCAAAGGCTCGGAAAAACATTTTCATATCCATTTCCTCACTGCTGAATCCATGATCTCCTTTGTTGATATCCAAAATGAGCCTCTGCACAAATCACAAATGGGAAATATTACAACAGAAGACCACACACACATACAGAACTATTTGGGGTATGAAATAAAAAACATATTTGGGGTATGACACAATAATACCAGGCAAGCAGCACAACTGTTTTCAACATATTATAAAAGGTTTATGAATGCCAAATCAGAGTAATTTAATGAGTTCTTTTAAAAAAAATGAATACTGTGACACTCAAAACACAGTAATGATTGATAAAATTCAACAAGGCATAAAAGGAATAAATTCCAGCTTAAAACATATTAACATTTTAAACTACAGTATCATTTTAAATGGAAAAAAATTCCATGTATGAATATTATTGCAATTTCAGAAAACCTGTCTTTCCTTTAGCTCAGTTTTTCTTCAACTGCTTCCAAAACAAAACTGTGCATCTGATGTGTTTATTCTGCAAATCCTGCCAATGGCCCTGGTCAAGAACAATTCAGAAATAGACAGCAGCATGCATCTCAAGTGATTCAGTTGGCAAAAATAATCCATTATTTATCTGCTTAACTATACTGGGCCGATATTATTCTTGTTAGATATCAAGTGCGTAACTTTGGTTTGAAAAGTGTGGGGGACACAAATTGGAGGAAATTTTATGATTTAAATCCCATTTTCTACCATTAAATGGACTGTCGCAACTGTTGATATAGAAAATGTGACAATACTGACCTAAGCTTATATTGAATCAACCAACTTGGATCTTTTTTTAATCCATTTTGACATCTCATGCTGCTATGGTATTTTATTAATGGTCATTTCAACCACAATATTTTGCTTATGCACTGAAAAAAATATTTATTGGATTTGATACATTT